CCTCCTCCTCCTACTCCTACTCCTACTCCTACTGCTACTGCTACTGCTACTGCTACTGCTACTGCTGCTACTCCTCCTCCTCCTCCTACTACTACTACTACTACTACTACTGCCACTTCTACGGCTACGACTGCGACTGCGACTACGACTACGACTCCGATGACGACTACTACTTCTACTACTACTCTTTCTAGTAGCACCGCTAGCAAGGACAATGGTAATGATACTGATATTGATGATCATACTCGTCCGTGTCAAAGTCATCCAATCTAATGCCCTGCTCCACCCAGAGACTCCAAGATTCCTCAATTGAGGAATCTATCGTAAATCATACTAGTAATTCTAGAAAGAGTTGAGGCTTTTAAGGTTTAAGGTTTATTCCCCAAGCAAGGGGTCTTGGGTCTCTGCTCCAAACCTTGCCGAGATGGCTTTGCCTTCACCGAGTGCTACAAGTGTCCGGCGGGTACTTGGACGCGGAGTCCAGGCTTCGACGATCTGCTTCGAGGGTTTATTAGTTTAGGGCTAAGGGTTTAAGGGTTTCAGGCGTTAAGTTTTAGGTTGAGTTTTGGATTTTTTGTTTTTTGGATAGGAAGGAGGGCCTTCGGATAGTGTTTGGGTTGAGGGTATTCAGGGTTTTGCCAGTCGTTTCGTTTTCTGTCTCGAAGTCGGTGTGGGTTGGGGAGGTATGGGCTGAAGCTGCCCAGTCTCTGGAGTCGGGCCGTGGGTCTTGTCGGGAGCACCGTCTTCCTGGAGTTAACGAGGCAGTCGGAATCCTGCTTCTGAAGGACTTGAAACCCTGGCCTGTGCAGGTGCTTTCCGAGCAGATATGTGCGACAGTAACATCCCTCGACCAGCCACGACGACTACGACCACGACCACCACAACCACCACCACCACGACGACTACGACTACCGCGTCCACGACCACCACTGAAGCCACGACCAGCAGCTCTGTCACGTCCGCCAACACAACGGCGGCCGGAACCACAGCAAACCCGACTGGCAACGCCACTTCCACAGAGCAAGACGTGGTTGCAAGCACCAGCACAGACGAAGTGACAGTGTCAGCCACAACAACAACAACAGCAATGACAACAACATCAGAAGCTACAACAGAAACCACCACCAAGGCAGAAGTACCAACCACCACTACCGAGATCGCCAACGTCACCATTTCCAGTACCACTGAAAATCGCAGCATGCCCTTTGCACCAGCCGGAAATTCCAGTTGGGCCTGCTTCTTAGCAGTTCAATGTCTTTTCAAGCTTGAAGGCATGCTTGCACGTGCCTGTGTGGCTGTGTGCCCGTGCGACTCTAGCACACTGCATGGTTTGTGTGTCCGTGCAGGCGAGTTTGGTGTGTTTGGATGTGCGAAGTAGTGACCGAGGCCCAGCCACCGGCAGAAAAGCCGACCGAAACGCCTGCTGATGCAGGGAATGCTACTACGAAGCCCAGAGCTTACTTAAGACTGCAACAGTTCCATCCCGCGCCATGCCAGTCCGAACAAAGATCATCAGGATTTGCATGTTGGCTGGAAAGTTGTGTAGCAGTGCGTGGTGGGAGCCGGTAGGAACTGTAACTGCCAACTACTGGGAATCGAGGTGTGTGCAAGTATTTCAGCAGTGTGGCGGAGAAGGCGGGCTTCCTTCACTGTGGACCTTTGTGGAGCAGTCGAGTCTGGTTCAGGGACAGTGGAGGCTGCGGCAAAATCATCCGTTTCATCTTTGCCAGCCCAAAGTCAGCATGCACACGAAACCAGTTAGTCAACCCTAAACCCGAAGCCCTAAACCCTCCCCAAGAGCATTGTTTGAGACGTTTCGGCAGATCGGAAAACAGGTGCTCAAAGCCAACGCCCTAAAAGCCCCAAAATCCTCCAAAGCCTAAATCCCGTCACAGCCCGGCAGGATTCTCTTCGCCGCTCTGCTGTGAGAGAGGCTCCTTCTGCGACGATGCGCAGCAAGACTACTGGCCGGGGACGATGGGGTTTCCAGTGGGTTTGGGCTGGGTAGGAACGTAGCAACCTGTGCAGTCTTCGGATCGAAGTAGATGCGAACTGCGCCGTCGGAGCTGTGTGACATGAGGTAAGTAAGTGTGTGTGTGTGTGTGTATGTGTGTGGGGGCTGTGCAGCTTGATCACACTGAGCCAAGTTGACGCTTGCACAAGTCTCAGTGTTCAGGCAGTGCTTGCCTTCTAAAACAGACATTGACTGCCACCTGTCTGCAATGCATTTCACCACATGACTGCGGAGTGGGACTATGCTTTGCTTAGGTGCCGGCTACGGTGAACAGTGTGGTGGCAAAGGCTTCACTGGCCCCACTTCGTGCTGCCTTGCCAGCCAGTCATGCAGCTGCCTTATACCAAAAGGGTTGCTACTCCTCGGTACTGAAGTATTCACCTGCCTGCAGCAGTGGCCATGTCGCAAGGCACAAAGAAGACAGAGCACTACTCCATCTGCAGTGGCCTATAGATGACCGCCAAACTCGCAAAGCGAGACTGTGCGTCTCTCCTTTCGAAAAGAGCTGCGTTCTTTCAGTTGCAGGACCGTGCTTGGCAACGCCTATGAGCTCGAATTCCCAACTCCTCAACCCACATCACTCAAACCCTAAACCCCGAACGGGCTGTCAAGCCCCGTTCTGATGACAGCCAACGACTGTAGCAGCTCAGCAAAGCCTGCGAATCGCATCAGCCAGGACTCCAGGAAACTCCAACCGAGCAAGAGTACATGGAAAGCCTCAGAAAGCCTTCCTCTGCAAGCTCAGCCCAACCTCGAGCTCCATATCCGAATCTGCGCCCCAAAGAATCCCCTGAAACGCCAGGACCCAGCTCTAAAGCCTCAACCAGCCTGGCTATCGGCTAGCTGTTGTTCAGTGTCAGAAGCCCTCAAACCCCGCACCCAAGATCCCGAACCTACAACCGTAATCCAGACCCAAAATCTTAAACCCTAAACCCAAACACCATGAACCCAAACCGTGCACCCTGAACCCTGAACCCTGAACCCTACACACCTAAACGGTGAAATGCTCCCTGAGCTTCTTCCATCAGCAAACCAATACCAGCAGTAATATTAATAATAGCAGCAATACTCACAGCAAAAAATCAACAACAGCAATCATTATCACAAAATATAACAGGAATAGTAACAACAATAACAATAACACTCATCATAATAATAGTGACAACAATAAACAATAAACAATAATAATAGTAGTAATAACACTAAAGAAGAGTAATAACACAACAAGTGGCACTGATTGGTGAGGCCCAGGAGCGGGCCTTTCTCGAGCGCTTCGGGCGCCTTCGGCGCTTCAAAGCCAGGGCGTTGCTTCGGGGGCTTTTCTTTATTTTCTGGGGAGGCTTTGGGTTTTGCAATTTTGGTAGGGGGGGGGGGTTAGGGTTTCGGGTTTTTGTGGTTTAGGGTGTTTGGGGGGTTTTCAGGGTTTCTTTTTGGGGGGTGGCTGAAGTATTGGGTTCTTGTTGGGCCTTTCTGCGGCAGTAAGGATGTTTCGAAGAGTCTTGAGTTGAATGGTTTCATGCGTCTTTCTCAAGACCCTGAGCCGTACCTGTGGCCCAAAAGGCCTACCTTTTTCAGCAGCTATATATAGAAACCATAATAAGGAACCCTACAAAGGTAGGTCTTTCCTGCTACAGGTAAACCCTAAACCCTAAACTCTACACCCTCAAGTCCGACATTGGCTCTGAGGCTTGTGTGGTTTAGGGCTTCAGGTTGTGGATTGCAGAGGTTTCGGGTGGTAAGGGCTTGGGTTTAGGCCTCTGGGAGCTTGGGACTTCTTTGGGTTTAGGGTTTGTTGGAAGTAGACAGGCTCAGGGAAGCCTTAGATCAACTTGGCTTTTCTGGGCTTTGAGGCTTCAAAACAAGGGGATTCATGGTTTGCATTGAGTGTGTCGAGTTTGGATCTGAGTTCTGGCTGGTAGTGCACCAATTAACCCCGAAATCCTAACCTCGGCCGGGCGTGAACCCTGAAGCCCGGCTCAGGATCCGACCCAAACCTCAAAACCGAAGCACCAAGCACCTGGAGCGCTTTAAGCACTGGAGCCGGTCAGCATCATGGTTCTGAAGGATTTCATAGGACCCGATGAGAACACCCTTGTGTTGTGGGAACCTTCTGACAGCCACAGAGAGTCGCCCCTTTGTCGAATTCGAGGCTCGACCCACCTCTTGGTTTCCAGGCTGGGAGGAGATGTTTATATGTTCAAGATTAAATATTACATACTCTTTGTTATATATTCTATATAGTTACATACAACAGTTATATTATATTGCTTTACATGTGCTGTTGAAGACACCCTTGTACTTGCAAGCTCAATGCTGCAGCTTCGGGTTCAGCCCAGCAGGTGAAGTGCTAGGCAAACGCGGTTGGAAGGCTTTGTCGATGCTAAACTATGCTGAATTTAGGTTTGTTTAGGATTTCTAGTTGTGTCTACACTGGAAGAGGTCATGAAGCGCGCAGTGTAGCTTGAATCGCGGCGAGACTTCCACTGGATTGCAGCCCTTGATTACACTATAGGCACTCTACACACAATATCACCGCGCTGCTCGGGTTGAGATGCCTTAGCCAGCATGACAAGACGATGTTGGCATTGCCGGCGAGTGCTCTCCGATTGGTGCGGGAGGCGAGGACTGAGGAGAGTGTTGCTTATTAGTGTTATTATTACCAGTATTATTCTATTGTTACCAGTATTATTTCTATTGTTGCTGTTAATATTCTCATCATTAACTTTTGCTAGTATAAGTGTTATCTTTACTCTTACTACAATGACTAGTATGATTAAAGTCATCATTATTACGACTACTATAACTGTTACTACCTCAAATTCGTTTTCTTAGGCCAGGCTAGGCCCCCATCGCCGCTCGGGAAACCTTTCAAGTCAGGGCTCCTTTCTGTCTGCAGCGCTCTGAGTTTGCTTTCGTGAGGAACGGCATGCTGCCCGCACTTGCGAGATGGTGTTAATGATAATGGTAGTAATAGCAATAGAAGTCAGAATGATAACAATACTAATCATGATAATAACAACAATCATACTAATACTAATATTAATACTGAGAATAATAAGACTAGCAAATAACCATAAAACTACTACTAATAATCATCATGCTACTGACCCGGCCTGTACCAGGCTTTGCTCAGTCTGCGATGGCTGCTGGAGGCTCCGAGAGGCTTTCAAGTTTGAGTGCAAGTTTCTGGGCTGCTGTTAAAGAACATAACACTCCGCGCCGGTCCAGCGCCCAGACGTAGAGACGTTCTTCCTGCATGCTTTCTTTTCTTCCTTCTGCGACAGTTTTTATTGTACTATACTGTAGATGACTTACCCTTAAAGAAGCAACGTACAAGTGCGCGACAACCCATGTTTTCCGGCTCAACCGCGTTTGAGCTGATAAAAACAGGGTGTCGCGCACTTGCACGTTTTCTACTGAGACTGACGTGTCAACTGCGAGAAAAGTAGTGATATCTCTGAATACGTGCCTTTTCTCGTAAAACCGTCGCGTAATTTGTCATGCGCCTGTTGCAATTCGCACTCTGTGTTGCATGACGTCTGGGCGCTGGATCGGCGTTGGGCGTTTAATTAAGTTGTAAGGGAACCCTAATATTTTTTCATGTTTCCTTAAGTTACCATAGTGGATAAAGTAAATAATAGGGTCTCCTTATTATCGGAACTTTGTTTAAGTTCCTTAGCAGCAACCCAGGTTTCTGGATCCATGGGTCTCGCGCAGGACCCCCGAGACAAGTAACACAGAGCGTGTCACGCCAGCTCCGTAAGATGTACTATGTGTCCTTCATGAGTATCACGAACATGCGATCCTTACCCAGGACTCTTCTGGCCTTCATCCTGTTGGACGTCGTGGGCAGCGGTGTGCTGCTGACACTTTTCTTGCGCCATAAAGCTCTGGGCAAGCTCTGGTTGCCAGATTATGGGTGGAAGGTCCTGGCTGGGATTCTGATATGTCGCCTACTCGCCCATGTCGTCGGGACGTGCGCGGTCATCCGGCGGAACACGAGTCAAGTTCGCTGTTACTACTTTGTGCTCGTCTTCAACTTTCTGTCCACCGTAATCTTAGCCCGGCCGTTGCTTTTGGCGAAGTGCACCTGTTTCGAGTCTGCCATGGGCCTGGTATCCCTGGATGCAGTGGACCCCACGGAAGACTCACCGGAGCAAATCCACCAATGCGATGTCTGGAACTCCTTCTTCGAAGTGGGGGACTTCACTCGTCGCCTGGGAACGAAGTGGCCCAACTGCAAGCAGCGGATCAACGGAAGGACAGAGAACGAGCGAAGGGAGGGCTTGGGGCTTCCGATTCCGGATCTTTTCAACCCTGTGGACCCTGGCATCAAACTCGAGGGCGAAGGAATCCCTTCAGACTGCACTGAGCTTAATCTTCTCCTACCCCTCGCCACTGCGCTGGACAGCATCGGCTGCGGCGGCTACGACATGCGAGATTGGGCGACCGGACCATTCAGAGAACTGCACAAGGAGCTTCAAGAGTGTTTTTCCCGAAAGAGCTGTGGGGGAGTCGGGATTGTCCTCACGCCCTCGCTCCTGGTCGAAACGCCTGACAAAAGTGCTTGTGGCAAGATTACCGTGTGCCGCCACTACTACCCGCTGAAGCCAAGCCTCGATACGGAGGCCGCTCAAGAAAAGGTTTGCGCCGTCACAAACGAGAGAAGTTGTCCTCTCGACTTACAGTTGCAACGCAGCCAGAACAGTGTTTGAGTCCTCAAAGAGCTCTGGAGCCTAAAGGTGCCACCTGAAATCGGCAGGCCGGATCCCGTGCTAAGGTACCTCCTCAAGGATGTTGAGAAGTTTGAATGCTTCCGCTTCGGCAAGGTGAGCGGCCCCGCCACGCAGCTCTGCAAATTCGCTGTGCAGGGAGCCCTCTGCCTCCTCCTTCTCCTGGACATCGTGACCCTTCCAGCCTTCAAGGCTCCTGAGGTTTAGCCTGGCCTAGTGTTTGAACCCCGTGGTTACACTGTAGCAACCTGTAGGCTAGAGGGCCTGCCTCTAAGCTGTGCTTGCACACAAGCAGAAGTTGCACAAATTGGTTTCACGGTGCTCTTTGGGTGCGGCAAGCGCAACGGGCAGCATGCCTTGCGAGGTGATCCGCAAGTATCTGCGTAACAGCTGCGGCGACTTTATCGAGGACGACGTCCAGTTTGACGTGGACTTTGCAGAAGACGACGGCCGGCCGTCCCTTGCGTCCTCCGAGGTACCCACGTGTGCTTGGGTCTTTGTACTTTGTAAGGCTTAGTCGTGGGACGGGCAGCGAACGAAACAGTCGTGGGCATCGGTGGGTCAAAGACTCTAAACTCCCCGGACCCCAAAGCAGTGCCCAAACATGACCAGTTGATTGTTGAGAATTCCCGCATGGCACCAACACGGCAACATCCAAAACTTTTCAAAACGCCTTTGTTTGCCACTGGGGGCCAATCCCATCTGAGCCCGCATTCCAACTCGCTTGAAAGTGTAGGAACATCCTTCATGCACCCTTGAAACTTACCAGGCCTCCTTTGTAGCCGGCGCTCATGCGCCGTCCCCACCGGATGGAGTTTCCTGGCTGCAGCGCTCCGGCTCCCTTCGTTCCTGGCGTACGCAGGTGTCTCCAGGAAGCTCGGGGGTTTCTGAAAATTAGGGGTCCCTTATCTAGGAGCCCGTCTTACAATGCAGGGTTTAGGCCAAGTTTAGGCCACGAGGCGTCCCTTACGTAGGGGCCTCAGTGCGATCTCGGGTTTACAGGAGTTTCGGGTTCGTAGGGTGAGGGCTTGCGGACAGGATTCGACCAAATCGCAAGATTGAGGGTGGCACTTCCGCTCACTCTTGCAAACTCTTAACAAATCTTCAAGGCCTCACTTGGGCACTCAAGTCAAGTTCGGGTGGTGGTTGTTGCCATGGTAGCAGCAGGGATGCCAGGAATGCTTTTGTCAAATCCCTGCGTTCCGAAGGAGCTACAGGCGCCGTGGAGCTCACTGGCATCGAAGCTCAGCCCTGAAGCTTTCAGGGTTCAGGAGTGCTGAGAAACGTCGGGCAATGCAGGGAGAAGGGTTCTAGGCCCCAGGTTCCGGATCTAGGTCCCCACCCATTGTTTGTTGTAGAGCTACGGGTTCTGTCGCTTACATGTACTTTAGTACTCTCATGATCATGCCGAAATTATGCCCTAAACACTAGACCCTAAATTCGGACCTCACAAACATCGTCTTTATTCACATTGGGTTATAGCGGGCAGCAAGGCGGAGAGGTGAGCAGCGAGCTACACCTGAGACAGTGGGACCCGGCCGTCCTAAGTTGCACACTCCAGAGCTTTGAGGGTGTAAGGCTAAAGAGCGGCCTTTGCCAGAGCTCATCATTATTTGCTTGATGCTTCTGCTTCCAAAAGCGGTTGGAGTGCTCCCTTCGAGAAGCAGAGCTCGCGCGGGTCTTTCGTTCAGTGTTGCTTGCGGGGCCCACGCTATTGTTGTTATTGTTATTGTTACTGTGATTGTGATGATGATGATGACGATGATGAAGGTGATAATGATGATTGTTATTGTTGTGGTTTATTGGTGTTAGTATTACTATGATTAGAACACATCGGTGATGTTTGTCGGGCTTCGAGCCTGTCCGGATTTCCGTATGGTGAATAGCCTCCAGGGACGACCACGATGGGGTTTAGAGTTTAGGGTTTAGGGTCGAGGGATTGCATCTAGGATGGGAAGTTGCAGCCCCAAAGCGAACGCGGCCTCGTACTCGTAGAAGCAGGTGTAGAAGACTTTCGTGATGCAGGTGAGGGCCCATGCTGTACCGAGAGCACGCAGCCGCGAGGCGGCAGGGTCGGTTTTTTTGCGCAGTGGAGTGTCTGAAAACTGCCAACCTGACAAGGTAAATAATGGTGCCAAATATCACAAGAGTAATCATCGTGATGATGCCAGTCGTGATGATGATGGTGATGGTAATGGCGAGGGTGATCATGCAAGTAGCGGTGATAGTGATGAATGTACAGACGGCGATGATGATGATCATGATGATGATCATGATGATGATCATCATGATGATCATGATGATTGTGATGCTGATGCTGATCATCTTGTTGATGTGCTGACCGACATGAACTGATCCCACTTCTATTGGAAGCGCCTGGGGTATCCTGCTTAAAGTGGCAAACGCGGCCAGAACCGAATTTCTGGCTACGCGCCCGCGAGTTCCCCACTAGAGAGACTTGAAAGAAGCACTGCTGTCTCCATTCACCGAAGGGATGCCTACATTTCCGCCGCTCCCGACCACAAATGAAAACGAGCAAATGTGCAAGAATCCGGATTTGTGTCTTTCAGTGTCCCATGCTTTCAATGTTCAAGATTAGGAGGTCTTGTTGGTGGTCTTCCGGCATGGAACACGGCTTTTCCGGGTGCGCCTGGTTCCAACATTCGGGGCCAGGTTCATCCTATGATTTCGGAAGTATATGTATATATATATATGTGTATACATCTAGATGTTTATACATGTATGTGTGTATATATACATCTGTATATGTCATGAGTATTGCCTGGTAGGTGCACTTGTTTTGTGGTGGCATCTTTCTCTCGCCAGGATGTCCTCAAAGCAGTGCGACAGGAGAGGGATATAGGTCCGTCTTGCTGTAACCTAGACTCGCCGACCTTGAAAGCGGCAAGCTAGGCTGGCTGCCAGACCCTGCAATACGAGACGGCCTGAATGCAACACCCCTGAACCCTAAACTGTCTGGGAGGACGGCTGGTCCTTGCAGCATGCTCCAGCGCACCTACAGGCAGTGCAGATCCATGGAGAGCTCCCTCTTGGCCTGTATGGCTGCAGACTTCTCACATTCATACCCTCCGCAGGGTGTTTGGCCACAAACCCTTTCTAGCGCTGTCTGACTCGAAAGTCGTCTTGGGTCAGCTGTTGGTTCGAACCTTCTGGGCCACCGTGGATCGTTCCTCGGAGCATGGGGACTATTGACATCTTGGTTCAGGTAGATCTGAGACTTGTTGAATTTAGGGGTCCTACTACTTGGGGGTTAGAGTTTAGGGTTTAGGGTGCCTGAGCCTCGCCCGTCGGAATGTGTCACGAGATACTTGTTGCCTAAGCAGTAGCATGCTGTGAGCTGCTGAGCCTGCTAAGCAAGTTAGCATGTGATGGTGTCTTGGATTCGCTTCGGCTGCACATGTTCACCGAAGTCTGGACAGGAACTTCGCAGGAAAAAGGGCTTTTGGTCCTGCTTGTCGATCCAGTGGTAGAAGCATTCGATCTTTTCAAGACCACGGCTGCAATTAGGGTTTGGTGGGTTGGTCACGTGGAACCATTGGAGGCCGATCGTGAAGTGGTGCTTGCTGCCGTTGAGGAGGACCAGATTGTCTAGAAGTGCATCGGGTAGAGCGAGTTGAGTGGTCGCTTTTCCCTCCAAGCACCTTGGCACAGTTTGGAACTCTCCGCCGCCCCTGCTGTGTGTCAGGATGGCTGGGCTCTGCAGTTCGCCGCCCCAGAGCTGCACGGCGACCGGGGCCTCGTCCTCCGGGCGGCGAGGCTTACGCTTTCCTTTGGGGGGTCTCAGACTTAGTCAGACTTTGTCTTGAGGAGTGTCGAGGAGTTGGTGATACCGCACTTACTGTTCTGTTCTTGCAGTCATTCTGTCTCTCCGTCTTCCCCCTCCGCCTCGTCGTCCTCTTCCTGTCAACAACCCAGGTCGTAGGAGATTGGGCTTCAGGATCGCTGTAGAAAAGCACCCACTCGAAAGTAGGGGGATCAGACCTTAACCATCCAAATCTTGGTGTCAGATGCGAGTCGCCCGATGTGCTGCTCCGCGTCGCTCTCTGGAGCCTTCCAGAAAAACCTACACGCAGAACCAGACGCCCGAAATGAGAACACAGCAGAGTCTGCCTCAGCCAGGAAGGATGGCTGGGTACTGTCCTTGGCCTCGGCGTCCGTGCGTGCGGACAAGGAGGCGCGATACCGAAGCGAGCTTCCAAGGAACTGACACAAACACCAAAGAAGGGAAAGGTCTGGTGAAAGTGATGCTATCCAAACCCGACCCTGACGGAAAAATGCTTTGGTGCCCGGACCCATCGAAGCTCCGAAGAGTGAGAAGATAAGAAAATATAGTATATTATAGTTTACTATACTTATTCTTCTGTTTTTTTATTACTTTGTACTATACTACAGTATGTGATACCATATGGTATTCTACTATGCTATACTCTATTGTAGTAGATTATACTATATAATACTGTGGGGTGTCGGGGAGGTCGTGCTGGCAGCCGTGGGTCAAGACTGGCGAGTGCTCCGCATCGTCGCTTGGACCCAGAGCAGCTGACGCTTTGCTTTGCTCTGCGAACTGGGCCAGCGATTCTCTATAATATATAGTATAGGACTATAGTACAATAATAATATAGTATAATCTAACATAATAGTGTATAGTATATTACAACATGATGTCATCCATTCTCCTGGCTTCTCTGAACCGCTGCAGTGACTTGGGGCTTGCGAGGTTCGCGCTGAACTCCGAGCCGATCGAGATGTCGTCCTCACAGCTTTATTGCAGGATCCGCGAGCGGCTAGAGTCTAGAGGAGCTAAGCAACATACTGGATATACATAATATACGTCTGTGCAGATGTAAACATATGATGTGCACACATAAATACATACATACATACATACATACATACATACATACATACAGACGTACATACCTACAGCCATCCATCCATCTACATGCATGCATGCATACCATGCATGCATACGTACGTACGTACATACATACATACATACATACGAAGGCATGCATACACTCACAAACATACATGCGTGCATGCACACATGCATGCGTACAATATACAGGCACATCGACAAATACACAAACATGCAAATGAACATATACATATATGCAAAGACACACACACACACACACGTATCCACATCCACATGCATATACAGCATACATATACATATACCTACAGGTATAGGCAAAGGTACAGATGTAGTTGTAGATGTGCAGCAGTAGATAGAAAGTTCCGTACATCCCTGCTTGTAACTTGTAACCGTAATTTGCAGCCGTCTTCCGTCTAAATATGCTTCGAGGCAGGGTACTCCTCGGTCGTGTGGGTAATGTAGAGACATGGCTTCCATTTGGCCCAAGCTCTCTTGTTGAAAGAGATTCCCTTTCTACCTCGCTGCCGATGACTCTTAGAGGCGGGACCGCGAAATCAGCAGCTTCCATCACTGTTGCCTGTACTTGCTGAGGTCTGGTCGAGTACTTCGTGGCCCCACAACTGCAATGCCTATCCGCTGGGCACGATGATCGGAAAGATGAGTTCCAGGCGGTGTTGCAAAAGACTGGACGTAGAGGGCCGTGGTTTTCGGGGCATGAGCCAAGATGCCCTAGAATGCCTTTGAACGGCAGCACTTTACGGATATGTAGCCACAGCTTGATGCAGCAATAGCAGCCAGCTGTTTCCCAGAATCTTCGCCTTTCTACCTGTCTGCTGAAGGTGAACCCTAAACCCTAGACCCTAAACCGTAAACCCTGAAGGTTGCAGATGAGACTTCGCTGACAATTCCTGCAGTGAGCCACCAATCCGAGCCCAGGCCCTTTCCTTGAAAGGTTCAGGGTTCCAGCCCTAAGAGCTGAAATTGATGCTTTGAGCCCTGAGCCCTGCGCCCATGTAGGATTCAGGATTTGGGTTTCCCTAAACCCTAAACCCAAAACCGCTCTCTCAAATGTATATTTAATTGTTAATGACTTTTTGATTTGGGTTGCGCGGGGTCATGTTTTTTGCTTGCACGGGGCTCTCTCCGCAACCAAAATCCCTTATTTTGCATCCCCAAACCCTAAACCCTAAATCCAGAAGGCCGAGTGCCAGGGCTCTGGCAGTGGAGAGCGAGCTCTTGAGACACATCGGCCTGCATCCCTTCGCAGAGCCTCGCTCAGATGATCCGGTTGACGGAAAAGGTCTTGCATCGTCCTTTTGTGAGGAATATACCATAACTCCCGTAGTCCCAGCTACTGGAAAGCGCAGATGTTTGTTTTTTGGGGCCTGGCAATCTGGCAGTTCAGATTCAAGCAAGGGTCCTATGTTTGGATCCGAGGGGCAGATTCAGAGTGGAGCCCCAGACGCCATTTAACCCTAAACCCTAAACCCCTAAGCCCTCATGCAGAGGAGACTACGCCCAGAGAGGCCGCGCAGCTGCTCCTGCAATCAAGCCTGGAGTGCCCTGACTGTTTTGAGCCTTTCTGTGTGCTCGTAAGTCTTACAT